CTCAGCCCGGCCCGCACCCTGCGCCTCGTCGTGCTGGGACAGAGCGCCGTGGGCAAGACAGGTAGGAAGGGGCTCCCCGGTATCCCCCCAGTGTCCCTCGGTGTCCCCCGCATCCCTCCGGCATCCCCCCAGCACCTCTCCGGCATCTTCCTGCAACCCTCTGCTATGCCCTGGCACCCCTCTGGCATCGCCCTGGCATCTCCCCGGTATTCCCTCTCCCGGGAGAGGGACCAACGTTCCTATGTCCCTTAGAAAGCCGGGACGAGGGACGTTCTCCCGATGTCCCCGCAACCGGTGGGGTTTAAGGGCACTGAGTTCCCTTCCCCTCGAGTTTCCCGCATGGACGCTGCAGCCGGGGCTCGTTTCCCTTGCCCGAGGGGTCCCCAGCTGCGTGGGGGCCCGGGGTGGACATCACTGACCGGGAGAACTTCCCTAAAAGCTGGGCTCGGGATTGGGTTTTCCCGGGTGTGAGGAGTTCTCTGTTCATTCCCAGCGCCCACGGCAGCTTTGTGGAGCCTCCTCCACAGCGCCGGGCTGTTTTCCTTCGGGAAAACTCCCTTTCCCTGCGCCTTGTTCAGCGCTCTCCGTCTGTGCCTGCTGAGGTGGGGGTTTGGGACACTGTGCTGGGAGCACTGCTGCTCCACTCCTTCCTTGGGATCATCCTTCCCTACCTCCCACTCCTCCATCCCGACCTGCGAGCACTTGAGGACCAAGGCGTCCCCTGTAGCACACAGAGTTCCAGGGCTGGAGCCAGAGGCAGGGAAAGCTGTGGATCCATGTGGATCCATCCACACTGATCCGGGCAAAGCCTGGTAGGACACAGCTATGCTGCTGTGCCCTTGGGGACAGCGAATGTCCTGCCCCTCTGGAAAAGGGAAGGCACCACAGCAGTGGCACCTGTGCCGGACTTTCGGAGCCTCCGGAATTGTGTTTCCATGCACAGCAACCGGCATTAAGGAAAAATCCGAATTCCCCGATTAAACTGAAGGAAGCAGCTCCCAGCTGTCCCTGAGCCATGCTGGAGCACGGGATGGAGCTCAGCTCCGGGGTACCCAGAGCCCCGGGGGGGACGGTCCCTGGCGGCCTGGAAGGATCAGGTGGTTTTATGGGGTGTACGAAGCCTTTGTCTCGCCCCCACCCCAAACACGTGTGCCTCCCTGCTTGTGGGCATCCCACCACGGAATCCTGGCAGCTTTGGGCCCCTCCTGTGGGCAGGTGCGGGGTTTTTGTGCCGCCTCCTCCTTAGGGTGGGATCGTGCCGAGGGTCTTTAGAAGTTCCTCCGGTTAGGTTCGGCTGTCAGCGTGTTGCAGCAGCGGGGTGACAGTGTGACAGTGTGACAGTGACACGGGCCATGGAATGGGGCACAGGGAGGTAATCGATACCTGGTGAAGAGGAGAGCTGGAGCGTGCCAGGAGCAGGGAGCAGCCCCCGGGAACGGCAGGCATGCAGCCTCCCTGAGTGAGTCCCTCCCCATCTGTGTCCCCTGGGCGCTGTTCTGCACGTCCTCTCCTGCCAGGGGACAATTGTGTCACCTTCCTCGGGGGCTGTGCCCGAGCTGCCGGGTCCTGCTGCCCGCCAGCCCCTGCGCTGGGGACGAGGACACCTGTCCTGCTGTCCCTGCCCAGCTGGCAGGTGACATCCCAGGTGATGGATCTAGTGCGGGAGAGGCGAGGGAGGAGCCAAGAGCAGCAGCAGCGTCATTGCTTGGACTCCTGTGGGGGGGACGAAGGAGGCGGCTGTGTCCCCAAGGTGGGGGTGACATCTCTTCTGGCCAGAGTGTGAAGCAGGGGAGGCCGAAGGTGGATTTCATCGCCGAGCTGCCAAGCTCCCATCCTGGCAGGGTGTGAGCGGGCCCCACTCAGGAGCATCCCCGGGACGAGCTGCTGCATCCATGGGATACGGAGCCAGGCCGGCAGAGTTGAGGGCTGGGAACAACCAAAGGGTAAATCCCACACGGGCAGCTGCAAAAGGAAAAAAAACAAACCTTGGTTCTCAGCAAGAGTTAGGGGTTTTTTTTTTGAGCAGTTTGGAAACCTTCAGGATCTGGTGACCCGAGGTCCCAGACCCCCCCGAACAGGGATGGGTTTGGGTGCAGCCGTGTGTGAATCAGCAGCGGGGGCTGGAAATCCAGCCCAGCTGGGGTTTGTGCTATCCTCTGCTGCTGCTGCCCAGCGTAAACTTTGCCATAATCCGGAGCAGAGCTCTGCCTGCAGCACGTGGAGCGAAGATGGATGGGCTGGAGCCGCTGGGCAGCGGCACAAACCGGGCAGCACGTGGGCGCGCACTCGGTGCCATCCCGAGGTGCCCGGGCTGACTCCTGGGCAGGTAAATCACCCCTGGAGCCCGCAGCCACCCCCCCGCCCCACGTTCAAAGCACAGTTAACCCTTTCAGCTCCCAGGAAAGTCCTTCCCGCGGTGACTGGTGTTCGGGATGGGGAGAGAAAGCTCCTTATAAGGCTGGGTGGCCGCGGCCGCTCCGCCTGCAGCCGCTTCCCCCACTGGCAGCTCCCCTCGTGTTCCTGCGCTCCAGCCAATTTTTAATCAATCTAATTGGCTCCTCTTCTCATCCCACACCATGTGCTCCAGCTTTGGGTGGCTGCCTGACATATGACACACAATCAGGTGCTTTCTAGAGACCGAGCCTGCCTCGTCCCGCTCCCCCCGATAATTCTGTCGCCTCTTTGAAGGTGCCTGCAGGTGCCTCCTGTGGGATCCCTGGCTATCTCCTCAGAGCGGTTTGGCTAAATTACCTGCTTTTTTCTTCAAATCACTTCCCTGCTGGCCAGGTTTTTAACCCACAGACAGACTGCAGCAGGTGAGAGGATGGTGAAGCCCCCAAAGAGGAGCCCAGCAGGTGTGGGAGGCAGAAGTTCCTGCATCCCTCTTTCCCATCGTGTGGTTATTTAAGCCTGGCCTATGTGGAGTGCCACATTCCTGGGATAAACGCACAGATCCTGATCGGCTTGGTGAGGGCAGGACACCAGCAACATCTGCTGGTGGGCAGCTGGGACAAACTGACCCTGGGTTGCAAGGGAAAGGGAGCTCCGAGTGTTGTTCCAACTTGGTGTTGGCTTTTCATTTCCCTTTCTGTTTCTGGAGGGGTTTTCATCACATCCTGGTTCTGGTGAGGTTTATCCTCCTGTCACACTCCTGATCTGTTTTCCATTCCTCCTCTCCCTCCTGGTTCTGTGCTCCTGCCTAGCTCTTTTGGGTTTTTTCCCCTATTTTTTCCCCCATTCCATTAATTTCAGTTTCCACTCCTGTTGCCTTTCCAAGCCAGCTGTCAGCCTCTTCACTACCTTTCACTCCCATCTCCATTATCATCATTAACGCCTTGAAGGGCTCAAGCACCACTTCCACCCTCCATCCCTGCACTCTCTTCACCCTCCCAACCGTGGCTTTATCCAGAAATTCCCACTCCAGGCATCAGCACTATGTTTCCAAAGCAGCTTCCTGGAAAAGATGTTAGGGCCAAAGGCCCCACGGAGGGTTTTGCCAGCAATTTGGGCTTTGCCTTGTCCAGGCTGTAGTGCAGGGAGATGTGTAATCAGATGAGAGGGTTTAATTGCTTGAGCTGTGGCTGTTCCTGCTGCTTCTTTGCCCTTGCAAGGAGGAAAAATGAGTCCAGAGGACTGACAACTCCAACAGGGTTCATTGTGTTTTTTTCTAGCGCTGACCGTACGATTCATCACCAGGAGATTCATTGGAGACTATGACCCAACCCTAGGTAGGAAACTTTTTTCCCTTGGAGCAAACTCCTTTTCCTCCATGGCAGAGCCAATGCTGCTCCCAAATTCACCATATCCCCTCTTCTTCCTCCTCAACCAGACAGGCAGCCCGTGGACATCCTGACACCCCCCTGGGCCCTGCATGCCTTTTTCCCTTTCTGTTATTCAGGCAAAATCTATTGGGTCGAGCCATTGGATTTCACAGGGAAGTGCTGCAGGCTCAGTCATGGGAGCATGGAATCATTTAGAATCATAGGATCACACAGAATCATTTCGGTTGGCAAAGACCTCTGAGAGCCCAGCCACCAAACCAACCAACAGTTCCTCCTCAGTTTCTCAAATTCCTTCCCAACCTGCTGGAAGGTGGCTTTTAAGGGACAGGAGGCTTCTAAGCTCCTGGAGCCTGTGCTCTCCTGAATTCTAGGATTTTGTGGGTTTTTTTTATTTTTTTGGTTTTTTTGCATTTGGGTTGTTTTCTGAGCACTGAAGCCATGTCCCTGCTGGAATGTCCCAGAAACATCCCCTCCTCCCACTCTCCTGCGGAGCCCCTCTCCCTCCCTTGTTGCTGCCACGCTTTGGTCACTGCTGCCCTCTCGGCCACCTGGGCTGTGACTGCTCCATGGGGGTTCTCTCACACACCTTTCCTGTGTGTCCTGCCCAGAAATGATCTACAGGCACGTGGCTGTCATCGATGGGGAGATGGTGCACTTTGAGATCCTCGACACGGCCGGACAGGTGAGCTCAGCCAGGAAAACACCATTGGAGCAGAGCGGCCTGCCAGGCAAGGCAGTCCCTGCTCTTCCACTGGCCTCATTCCTGGTGTCTGGAACATCGTGGTGGTTACCTCAGGAAAAGGGTGTTTTGGTGAATTTATGTCTAGCCTCAGTTACAGTGCAGCTTCGGGTAAATACTCCCCTATTTCTGTGCAGGGCATAGCTCTGCTTCCTGTGCCAGTGGAGCATCCTGGCAGCTCAAGGGAGCACTGATTCCCCAATATCCACGCCAGGACAGGGCTGATGGCCGTCCCCACCTGCCACACCACCTAAGCCACCCCATCCCTGCCCCGAGCTGCCAATATTAGCACTGCTGTCCCCAAACCCTTCATGGAGAAGGCACCGCGCCCTCGGGAGGTTTTCCAGGGTTGCACCCGGCAGTGCTGGCATTCCAGCGGTGCTAACGGGAGCCTGTGTGCCCGAGCAGGAGGAGGACTCGCTGCAGATCGAGGAGAAGATCAAGTGGGGCGATGGCTTTGCCGTGGTGTACTCGGTGACCGACCGCTGCAGCTTTGACGAGGTGATGCGGCTCTGCTTCCTCATCAACCACCTGCACACCAGCCCCAAGCGCAGCGGCGCCGCCGAGCAGCCCCCCGTCGTCATCGTGGGCAACAAGAAGGACCTGCAGTTCGACAGGATGGTGTCCACCGAGGACGGGGAGAACCTCTCCAAAGCCCTCAAGATTCCCTTCTACGAGATCTCCACCCGGGACAGCTACGAGGAGCCGGTGGCGGTGTTCAGCAGCCTCTACCAGGAGCTGCTCAGGCAGGGGCACTTCTCCCCGGGCTCCTTCAAGAGGAGGACAGTGTCCAAGCTCATGGAGAAGATTCCCAAGATGCAAGCCAGCTCCACCCTGAACTCCACGGGCCGGAGCCTCAGCTTTAACTCCTTCAGGGACTACATTCCCGAGTGAGCGGCCTGGCTCCAGCCTGCCATGGGGGCGGCTGCTGGGGCTGTGCCGGCTCTCTTCAGGGGAAGGTCAGGAGCGGAGAGGGTGGCACTGGGGTACAAAAAACTGTGGGTTCTTCTTACAAGGGGCTTTGTGCCAGCAGGGAAGGTTTTCTTCATCCATCTGATCCCTTTGTTCCCTCCTCCCCCTCTGGTGTGGCCCTGATGGCTCCAGTGGTGTTGGGACAGCCCTCGGAGGGAGGCTCAGCTGTGTTTTGGTGGGGCTCAGACCCAGCACAGACACGTCTGGGGGGGCTTCCCCCCTCCCCTGAGCTGGCTGGGTGTGTCTGTACCCCAAATCCAGCACCCACCGTGCTGGGTGACCGTGAGGGCCTTGCTGGCTCCTGGGGAGCATCAGCCATTCCCTGTGAATGGAGCCTGCTCCCTCAGCGTGGCTGGTGAGTAAAGCTCCTCGGATCCTCAAACCCTTCCAGCCCATCCAGGCTGTGCTCAGTAGCATGGACACAACGGAGCTGATTCCAGAAGCTGCTTGCAGGTACCCCTCTGTCTGCTCATCAGCTGCCCTGTTCCCAGAGGGAAAATCACCATGGGCTCAGGACTTGTCCTTTTGCACAGGGATGGGGCAGGAAAGGTGTGGGAAGGAGCCAAGCTCGTGGCTCATATTCCCTCCCTCCCTTTGGGTGTTGGGGGCTGGGTGGGTGGTCAGGGTGGCTGTGCTGGGACCCTGTGGTGTGACTCCCCTGTCCCCCCTGTTGTGACCGACCCCACTATCTGCTGCCGTGTCCTGTGACAATAAAAGCCGAGTTCCCAACCGCCTGTGGCACTGCCAGGATAGGTTATTTTAGGGAGCTTGAGGAAAGGACTGCGTGGTGTGGGATCACCCTTAAATTAGGGCTGGGCATCCTCCTTATCTTCTCCCCGAGCCCTGGCACCATGCACCCTCCTGCCTCCCTCCACCCCTAAAACGTGTCCCTGGAGGATCACAGCCTGGGAAGCCACTTATCCCACCTCCACAGCCTGCTCCAGAGCCCACTCAGGCACCCTTTGCCCTCCTACAGCTCCCAGACGTGTTTCCTGGTGCTGCTTTCATCTATCCAAGGGGTTTCGCTTCAAGGGAGGGGATTTATTTTATTCCATTTCTCTTCAGACACCCACATCCTTCTGTGGGGGGGCGGAAATGAGCCCCATCAAGGAGCCGGGCTGGGAAAGCAATTTGGGGCTGCTCTTCCTCAGCACCTTCATTAAAATCAAATTAAAATTAATTAAAATTTTACTGAATTAAATTTAATTTAGTGAATTAAAATTTGCTCAGGGCTCTGTGTATGGGCAGAGCCCAAATGGGGCTGGACAAGGAGTGTGTGTGTGTGTGTGTGTTTATTTTTAGGGGGTTTATGGCATTCCCAAGGGAGTTGAACACTGGGATCTGGGGTGGGTGTTGCTGCCCTGGCTGGAGAAGAGCCAGTTTGGGAAGTGCTGGGATGGGGGGAGAAGAGCTCAGGAGGGATTAAACTCCAGTGGGATGCTGAACACACACTTGAGCCTGTCAAAGGCAGGATTTGGGTACTCTCATTCCACATAGCTCAGTTCCCAAATATCCCCAAGGCTTGTCCAAGGGGGTGGATTTAGCTGCTGGCTGGAGCCGGGCATGGCGGAATCCCGCAATATTCAGCAGGAATTATTCCAAGTGATGGATGAGACAGGACCAGCTCATGAGCAGGAAGCCAGGCCAGTGCTGGAACAGCATCCCCAGTGCTCCTGGCAATGGAGAAGCACTCAGCATGGCCGGGATCGCTGTCCTGGAGTAACCCCGGCCCTTTTTCATATCCCAAGGAATCCAGAAGGCTCCGTGTGGTCGCTGCCTCAGCCCCTCACCAGGGCTCCTGGCCCTGCCTGCTATAATTAGCACCAAACCTCATTAGGAGAGGCAGGGGCAGCTCTTCAGGACTGGTAATTGCTAATTACTGGAAGCCTCTAATGGCTCTCCAGGGAAAGTTTCCTCTCCCTTATAAAGGAAGGTCTTGAGGATGCAGCATTCATTGGGGTGGGGAGAGGTTTTGCAGGGGGAGGAATTCTAGGGGGCATAAATCCTAAATTCCTGTGGTGAGAGGTCTGCAGGGGCTGGGCAAAGGAGGAGGAGGAGGAAAAATTAAAACAAGAAAAAAAAAGAAGGGGAAGAAGATGAGGAGGAAGAGGAAGGTCTATGACTTACTTGGAGCAGAGCCTGGAGATTCAGAGCCCCGAGCAGGTGAGTCCAAGCCAGGTCCCTGGAAAGGAGGTGCCCAGAGCCTCCTGGGAGCCCCTTGGAGGCACACGAGGTTCTGTGGGGATGTGGGGACCTGCAGCCTCCTCCATGCCAAGCAGGGCAATGCCACTAAAACAACACTCCATGGGGGTTTGGGACTGAAGCCGGGAATGAGGGCCGGGGTTTGGTTTGTCTTGGAGCCCTCCCAAAAGAACCACAACTGTCCTTGGGGAGCACCAGGCCTCAGGGCTGCTAAAAACTCTTCCAGGGAACAGGGATGGATGGAGCTGGGGTATCCTGTACTGATCCCCTGGGTGGATGTTCCCGTGTGTAGCTGGGAAGTGCCACCTCTCTGGGGACAGGTGGATGTCCTGAAGGTTGTCCTGCACCTTTCCAGCCTGCAGTGGCTCAGCTCCAGGGAGAGAAGCTGAAGAATTTTGGTCTCATCATTATCCAAACAGCATCTCCAGGGCTGGGATTGAATTTGGCAGCAGGCAGGCTGCAAATCTGCTCACCAGATTTCTGGGAAGTTTGGGAGAGGCAGATGAAGCAGAAAGGTCCTTTCCAAGAGCTCCTGGCTGTGCTCACCCCCAGCAGCTCCCTGGCATGCCAAGCCCCCCGATTAATCTCCTTTGTCCCCTCTGCCAAGGGGTTTCCTGGAAAACCAAAATCATGGGCTGAGGCTGTGGGGTGCAGCTGCTCTCTCTTCACAGCCACAAATTTTATCATCAGTTGTTCCTTGTTTTAGTTTAAAAAAATAGAGGTTTGGGGCTTTTTGAAGGCTTCTCTTGGAGGAGCAGCACATGGATCTGGCCTCACTGCAGCCCTGCTCCTAGGAGGGGTGGGGAGAGTGGAATTGCCAACAATCCTTTCCAAGCAGGTGCTGCCATCAGAGATCCCAAATCAGCACCCTCACTCCCTTGAGGGGTTTGAGCTCGGAGCAGGAGCATTGAGGGTGTCTGGGGGCTGCAGCATTCCCTGGATTTGAGGTACCTGGGCTGGGTTTGGAGGTGCAGGGGGCTGAGTGCCCCATGAAGGGGAGGGGGGGTTTTCCTCAGCACTGGGGGCTCCTCTCTCCCCAGATTAGAAATTTTAGGGAATGTTGTGCATTAGGAATTTGGGATTGATGTACCCAGAATATCAGGCTTTTCCTGAAGGGAAAAGGGGGGGGAAAGGGGTACACAGGGGCTGTGTCCATCTCATCAGTACCAGCTAAAATTGGCAGCTGGAGCTGGCGACTTTCCACCTGGAAAATTATCCATCTATGGATTATTTCAGGTGCTCCAGGCTGTCCCCCACTGCCCATAATCTGTTTTGCCCGTGGGACCCTCCTGAAAATCCGTGGATTGTGGGCTGTGGATAGAACTCAAAGAGCTCCCAAATCCAGGCATTCCTGATTCAGGGGGCACAGCTGGGATGGGAAGGGACGATGGTCGCTTCCAAGAGCTGCTCCTAAGGCCACGTTGTCAGTGCTAGTCCTGCTCCTCATTGTTTGTTTTATAAATAGCTGTGGAGTTCATGGAAATCTGGGATTGCTTTCCAGGAGGGAATCTGGGCTGAGATTTCAGGAATTAGGAACTGTATCATCCTTTTTTGTTTGGTTTTTTTGTTTTTTTTTTCTTTTTAAACTGAGCGATAGCTCAGCTCCAATAAGGAGCCCAAATATCCTACTGAAGAATTCCAGCACAGCCAAAGGCTTTTGCTGGCCCTGAAAGGCAAGGCTGGGAACTGCAAGGGGAAGGAAAACCCAAGGAGAACGCCCACTACGGCACATTGGCTGGTTTATTCCCGGGGTGGATTCTGAAGGGTTTTTTTTTCCTTTAAATAAGCTCTGTGAGGGCAGGAAGATGGGATATCCATGGCCATCCATGCTGCCAGCTTCAGGGAATCTACTCTGGTTCATCACTGTGTCTCCCAGCTCATAGAAACCAGGGATAAATGGATAAAAATGCGAGTTTGGTGTAGGCTTTTGAGGTACTGTGGGATCCATCCCCATAGGGAGAGTTTTGGGATGAGGCTGCTCCTCACTGGGAAAAATGGAGGAAAGATGCCAAGTCCTGGAGGCACTTTGCTGCTCCCACCAGTTTTCCTTTGCTCTCGGCCAACCCACACATCTTTCCTGTATATTTTTTTTTAAATTAATAATAATATTTAAGAAACCCCAAACCAGAAACCCCAGGAGGGTCTGGCTGGGAAGCTGAGGTTGTAATTGCTGGTGCTTAAAGGCTGTAGGAAAATATTGATGGAAAGGGCTGTGCCTTCCCAAGTGTAACCCCATAAAAGTGGAAAATCCCTGTGGCTCTCTGTGCTCTCCCTTTTCCCTGCCAGCCTGAAAGGTGATGGCAGAGCTCTGCAAAGGAGTGTGATCCACAGGGAATGCAGTGATGGAAGCCTCTCTTAGGGGACAGCGATCCTAAATCCCAGTGGGAATAACCCTGGGTCCTTGCTTTATGGGTGTTTCACCAAAAAGCTTGGGTTCTCAAGCTCTGCTTATGGATGCTGGTGAGATAAATCTGTTTCCAGCCTCCAAGTCCATCCTTTCCCTCGGCACTGTCCACCTGTAGGTGCCACATCCCACATGGCCCAGAGAACCTGGAGGGTTGGAAAATCCCAGAATCCTGGAATGGTTTGGGTTGGAAGGGACCTTAAAGCCCATGCAGTTCCACCTCCCTGTCATGGGAAGGGACCCCTTCCACCAGATCAAGGTCCCTCAGCAACCCTGGAGCTTGGAAAGCCCCATTGGATATTAAAAAATAACCTCAGGGTCTTTTCAACCCTGAAAAGTCATGAAGAGGGAAAAGATGCTCTATTTTGCAGAGGGGGAGATTTTAAAATGTTTAAAAAAACAACAAACCAAACCTCTGGAAGCAGAGGGGCAGAACACCCTTCTGGAATCCAGGGAGCCACCCCGAAATATTTTTTTTCCCTGTGGCCACTCAAGGCTAAGTGGTTTTTGTTGGCAGTGGGAGGAAGATGAAGGGAGGTTTCACTCTGCTTGTGGGAGCCAGTTCATGCTGAGATTTGTGACAGGCAGGAAAACTCATAGATCCATTCCTCCTCCCAAAAACCAGAAGTTCTGGGAGGGTGGGAGAGGGCTTGGCCCAAACCCCCAGGCTATATTTGGAGTTGTGGGGGCCCAAACTTGGCCAGATATTGAGTTGTTAAAAGCTCCAGCAGGATTTTTCCCTGGGATTTGAGCTGCTTTTTAAGAAAAGGTTTTTAAAACCATCCCCATTTTCTGCTATCCTGCCTAGGCATGGCCTCCTGTCCCTGCTTATCCCTCTGCATCCGCACCACTGGACGCGCCATCCCAGGGTTTCCCTAATCCCACCTTGGGGGCCCCTCTGCCATTCCATGGATGTGATTTAATCTTGTGCCATGTGACAGGGCTTTGCCTTCAGCTGCTGCAGCCAGCAGCCTCATCAGCTGCCCCCCTCCCAGCCCATTCTGTGGTGGGAAGCAGGGAATTGTCAATCCTTGTGCAGCTTTTGTGGCTTTTGGGTGCTGCTGCCACGTCCCTTTCTCTCCCTTGGACAGAGGATTAAACCTTCCTGGTGTACCAGGATCCCAGATC